TAAGCCGTGCCCCCTCCCCCTTCCCCCAAACAGAAACCTCCCTCTTCTCCCCTCTCTTCGTCTGTATCACTGCCAGCTGCCAGATGCTGATAGCACACGTTACTACTCTAGTATTTTCCAAATAGCTTTGCTTCTCAAAAAGAGGATACTACAGAATTTTGACTTATTACGCGAACGAAAAAGGAATCACCACTGGTGTACTACTGCAAAAGATTTTGGGTTGATAAATGAACATACAGCAATGGCATCTCGATCTCGCTCACGATACTCCGAGAACGACAAGTCGTTTTCGTCCGGCCGAGTAAAATCTGCCTCACTTGAAAGCGATGTTCGCGTTGTGTTGTTCTGGACCTGAGGTGAATGTCCGGTTCCTATGAACCTGAAACTTGAGATGATGAAATGTTTGGGTATCCCCGAACTTATATGAATTTCAGGTGATGTAATAGGCAGAAAATTTAATTACGGGAAAAGCAAGTGAAAAGAATTACGTTGAATTTGATGATGATGGCTGGTTGCCACCGGAAACACCATCTGAATTCGAAATATTCGAAAGACTTTCGGCCGAATGGGCTCTATTTAAGCTAACACGATCCAGCTCGCTGTGCTGACTTGCAGTCATCCCTGCACTGATTGATGATGCTTTGTCCTGCAAAAAAAGCTCACTGCTCAATGGGAAATTAATGAAGAAGTAAAGGAATTAAGCATCAGCTGGGTTTAACCACTAATGAAAAGTATAAGGGAAAAATAAACCAAACTTTTGACGTTAACGAAAAAACCAGGAACAAATTTGGTGCGTTAAGAAAATTAAAAATTCGTGGTACTTTATTCCATTGCCGTCCAAGACGAAATGTGCACAAAAACAAAACTACAACTGCAAGATAGCATTCTCCCACTTTTTGTTGCTACTGTAACAAAATGATATATTTGAGGGGCCAGTAAAATGATGCGAAACTTCACCACTCGGGATCTAGCCTATGTCTCCGTAAAACAGAGGGGAGCTTTACTGAAATATGCTCCGTACTTCATCGGATGAAAGACCTACTACTATTCTACAAGAAAGGATCACTTTCGAATTTCTAACCAATCCCAACAAAAACCAAGTTGTTTGAGGTAAGATACGAGGCACTACCACAAGTGCTATCTTCTTGGATCTTAGAAGGCTGAGTATCTCCATCTAAACCTGGAAAAATCCTAATTTATGAAACGATCGTTGACAAAACTAAATGAATATAGTTTCGGAAAAATATACTGATTATTTCTTTTTAACTCACACTGATGAGACGCTCGACCGATGGCCCCACATATACTTGCTTCCAGATCTGCATATCCTCAACTCGTAGCGAAATGTGCAATCGTCGCTGACTTTTCCTTGGGTCATAGATGACATTGCCAAATTCCGGCTTCGAGTCATTCAGGAACGACCAAAGGGACAAAGTCTCCATATCATCATTAGCCTTCTTGAAATTCCGTCGCTCGTAATTACTGTTCCACAGAAATGTACCAAACAAACCCGAGTAACAGTGGAGAGCCAGTTTGGTCTACAAATGAAACAAAATGAGTCTATTTGCTGTTCCGTATTCCTTTTCAGAATATAGAAAATTAACTCTCAGACTGGGATACAACAGGCTTGCCGGTGTGATCATGAGTTTTTATGCTAGACTTGCAACGATCAAATCTTAGCAACATGACTGATTCCTATGTATGTTTGGGAGTTTTTCCGCATACGGTTAGGACGATATTGCCACACCATGAGGCTACATGGGCCTACAGTGCACATGATCACCGATTAACTGCATGAAGCCCGGCCGTTTTTCCTGCAAGCAGTCGTTCATTGGGAAATGTAAATTTGAAAATGCACAAGATGTCGGAACAGAATCACGAAATCGGCAAAACGTACTCGTTTTTGAGTTTACGATTAAACTGCGTATTCCTCTTATCCTCCTGAAGGAATTAAGATTCTAAGCTGCATTTAGATAACACGCGAATATAAAACATATTTGCATTTACAGCCTTGTAGCTTGTCTGGTAAGTGAAACAGCTGTTTCGCTGCAAATATATTTAAACGACTCTAAACTGTAACCCAAGTGCAAATCGAAACTCGTTTTAGGCATACGATTTCCCAGATGAACGATATTTTGACAAAATTTCAGCTACTGTTTTTCGGCTTGTTTCTGAGTTGGCACAGTGCCAGCCGCAAACTGACGGGATTGTATGTACGATGCAAAGGCGCGAGACAACTGAGTTTGAAATCTTTAGCTCATACATGCACAGAGGATGCCCCTGCAAAGCAGCGACTTTCTGACCTGTATGGTTCCCGAAACCGGTTGTCGTCGCAGAAATTTACATATTTTTTCGGCGGACCGTATGCGAGGTCTAAGCGCATATGCACAATGATTTTAAAAAGAGATACAAATGGGGTAGGAATATGCTCCCAAAATTTCAACACCCACGTTTCCTGGTTGCTGAGTTAAAATTGGGTGACAAAATTTACTCGTTTTCGAACACACACATGCAAACACACAGGGACGACCTCTCGACAATACGTTTTTTTTTTTTTTTTTTTTTTCAATGTAGCGTTAGCAAAGACACATATTGTCGAGAGGTCGTCCACGTTTTCGCACAGCAAAAACGCATAAAAAGGGCGTCTAGGGAGATTCAGCGCTACAGAGGGGCGAAACTTACCAGATAACTTAAAGTAAACTGAAAAGCGTCTGGGTGCATATGGTGCAACTGGTGGACGCAATCCAACCACTGTAAGAAAACTGGCGACGCCTCTGCGCTCACGCTGTTTTCGAATGCCATGCGGTCAGCGAACTTGTGGCCGAAATCGATCCAATCACGACGGATCAAGTTCTTGAATCCCTGAAACAGCACTAATTCGATTAAAAATGAGAAAAATTAACCATGAAAAAATGAAAAAAAAGCATTTTTGTGAGGAAAGGGTTTCGAAGAACAACATTTACAAGGGTAGAAGCATAAGAGGCGCGAAAACTCGCAAAATGCTATTACAAAATCGTAAAAAAAACCCTGAACTACGGGTATCAAAGCACTGCGCTTTAGCCAGGAATAGAATCTCGAAACGCGTGTCTAAAAATTTTCAAGAAAAGTCTCACCTCAGTTGTCCGGTAATATGGATCAGCGATCACTTTGGCCAATGTAACGATCTGTGTTGTTCGATCCCAGCCATCGGTGCAATGCACAAGAACTGATCGCCCTGTAAAATGTTCTGGCATAAAGCACAACGAATCGGCAACATTTAAAGAAAAAATCTCTCCTCAACTGGACCTATTTCTCAGAATTTGCCAAAAAGCTGATTTCGAGCCATAATTTCGCTTAGCTTCAGCACTGCCCGTCCGGACGAGAAGTGTCATGTAGATTTATGTGGACAGGACGCGACAGCGTGTCTTTTCTGCGCACCAAAAGGCATAAGCCAGTTCCATTTAAACTCAAAATTGCTTACCTTCATCAACAAGAGCTCTGACGCATTTCTGGGCCGTGTCAATGAGATTTAGCATGTGCTGAAGCCAAAATGTGGACTGCACCGACTGTAGCATAGTTGTTGGATCTTGGGGTCCGGCGAGGACTAGCCGCAGCTTGTGGAAGCTGTTCCGGATTTCATGAATATTTGCTAATCCACTGAAAACCACTTCCGTCTGCTTGTAATATTCTGAAAAAAAGAGAAACTCTATGCTTAATTAGCGATGTCTTCATGAACTGGTTGCATCCCGACACATAGTTTCTGCTTGGTATGTAAGGATGCCAGGAATTGGACCGCTGCCATAAAGTGCTAACCCCCTCCCCTCTCCCCATCCGCCCCCCCCCAAGCTACGAGCCGATACCTATGAATACGTTATCTTGTACAGCAAAAATCCTTTCAAAGTATTCGAAAGTATCTTGTTTCAATATCCTGCATCCTGAAAATCCTTTTACGCCCGATAAAAGATGACATCGATCATGCGCGCCGTACTTCATCCTTTACATTTTTATAGGGTTTCGACGATTAAACAACAAGATAAAAACAGAACAGGCGAATTAATCTCTTTCTTTCGCTCCCCCGTATCTGCCTCTACCTCCATCCCTACAACTCCTTTCCTGGTCGCTCTCTCGGAATATATCGCGCGAAATCTTCCAGAAGATCTTAACTTCCCACTGATAATCTACATCCGTCTATCTGTCCTATAATTTAATAGTTGTGCAAAAATGTTCTCCCCCCCCCC